TTGGCAATAGTCTGGAACAAATTGAGGTACGCCCGTGACGATGGATAATACACTGAGTCATATCTATTGAAAGTTATTTTCTGGTGGGAAAACGCAACGTTCAGGAAATTCTCCATAAATCTTAACTGAAAGACAAAAATGTACAAATATTGGTCACTGCAAGTCGTGATCATTTTCACGGCTAGACTTTAAAAGTTATCAATATCAATAACCCGTTAAAACAGGACCGGTTATTTTGCGAGTTGCGAGTGGCGAGTGGGGAGTGGCGAGTGGCGAGTGGGGAGTGGCGAGTGGCGAGTGGCGAGTGGCGAGTGGCGAGTGGCGAGTGGCGAGTGGCGAGTGGCGGGTGGCGGGTGGCGAGTGGCGAGTGGCGAGTGGCGAGTGGCGAGTGGCGAGTGGCGAGTGGCGAGTGGCGAGTTAATGGCGTTCATTAACTTTGCCGAGCGCACTCGCCTAGGGTTTCGCCACATTTATCATCACAGAGACAAAAGAGCCATGAAAAGCATCCGAGGTCAAGGAATAGGTGACAAGTAACTTCTTTGCCATGTTTCGATTTGAAAAGCTTTAATCATAATCAGAATATCACAACCCCAACGCGCCACTCGACAATAGTAGAACCCTTTTTAAATAAGGAAAATATTGATGGCAAGGAGATCGAAGTGATGATAGCGATTCCGTCAGGCTTTTGATCAACAGAGTGAATAGGGAATTGCTGTTTTACATACGCTGAAGGTTGAGTCCGTACAAAAGTCATCTAATGTTTTGTCCAAGGAGTCGAAAGATCGACCTGATCGGTGGTCATCCATAAGTGATTCAATTATATCTCCTGAGATTCTTTCTGGACTTACTGACTGAAAAAAAAAAGAAAATAATGAAAATATAAAATGAAAAGTTCAGTATCACATTAAATGGCATAATTTGGAAGGCTTTGATATTTCACAACGTGGACCAAAGTTACTTTATCGCTCTAGTTTGAACACTTTAACTAGTCAATACTAAATTCTGGATTTTCATAAACTTACCTGAGCAATTTTGTTTTCAAAATCATATATGTCCATCATCTTCCGATTGGAAGCCGCCCCTCCTCCAAGAAGACGTGCTATGGTTTTCATGTATGTTTTGTACGCCTCCCGGATCTGTAGTTTGAATAATGACAAAAACGGCTTTTGTTATAGAAGGAAAGTCATCACTCTCACTACTGCAAATTACGCAGAATCCAGTAAACCAAACAAACCTCAAAGTACCCGACGCATACGATGTAAAGTGCAGGAGAATGTGTCCGAGCGTGTCACGTTTGCTTTGGGTTCATTACTGACTGAATGACAAGTGGCGTGAGGTTTATATGCCAATCGCTTAGTGTGGTAATGTAAAATCAAGCACTCAAAAGCGGTGATATTCGCTGTTTTTGGTTCACTTGCAAAATTTATTATTGCTAGTTCATTCTCGTAACCTCTACTGTTTGTTCGTTTTGGATTTTGGAATATCGACTATGGACTGAGAATCATGCATAGATTGTACGCTGGGCAATTCTACTTAACAACAGTATTTTGTACTTAGGAATTTTAAGTTTTGTTTATGTTTCGCTTGACTATCCATACATCTATACACAGGGGCGTAGCCAAGATTTTTCAAAGGGGTGTCACACTGTGTCAAAGTGCAGGTACTCACCAGATTGTCTTGTCGACCTCCCCCGTTTTTGCCACATGTTGTAGGTTGTTTGCTTAAAAAAAGGCTTCCGAAGGGGAGGTCACGGGCACCCCAGGTCCCCTTCCCGCCCGCACCTAGCAACGCCCTTGATACAGCCATAAAGACTAGTACAAATCTCATTCACCGACACGAGTTCGACTATCTCCTCGACGACTTGGGACCCATAATACAATGTTTTCTTACCAACCTTTTGTCCCTCACTTGAGTAATCAAAATAGTAACCTATACCCAGTCCCAACGAGGAAAAACTGACCTAAAAACAGAAAATAAGAATGAAGAGAAAATGAAGGGTGAGTATGTTACTCTACTTCAGAAACTCCGGGTGGAGTTAATGATGTCATCATACCCTGCCCCACACCCCCTTCAGTACCCTTACAATAATTGTCTCCAACAGCTGGATCGAGAAGCTACCAAAGAATTAATAAATGGTGCTGAATTTCCTTATGCTTTGATTTAAGCAAAAATATATTATCAAAATCAGACTGATCTAACTTCATTTGCGTCTCTCGTTTTTCTTACGTTATTGTTATTTTCTGTTTTGCTCCGTCGCATAAATTAAAATACGTAAAAGAATAGGCTTTGTCAATAATTTAACTATAAAACATTGCGATAAGACATAAGTTAAAACCATCACGGTTAAAGACTCTAAAAAACTGTAAAAAACTCTAAAAAGCGACGACGTTTCGACGTTTACTCAACGTCATTTTCAAGTCAAAATGAATAAGAAAGCGTTATTTGAATATAAATGCACAAAACAAATCCTTAGAGACTTAAATAAAACACTATTAAATGC